GGGTTTGTGAGATGGCCACTGATTTAAGAACACAGTTGTGTGAAAGAAGCAAAAACTTTATTGCATCTTGCTGTGGATGAAAGTACAGACATGATAGGCATTGCACAGCTGGCCATCTTCATCCATGGAGAGGAAATATTGAACATTAAATCGATGCACGGGACAACGACAGGAAAATACATTTTTTAAAACATATGTCAAAGTGTAACTGACATGAAACTGCCCTGGGACAAACTTGTTGGACCTACAACAGATGGAGCGCCGGTGTTGTGCGGTGAAAAAAGCGGACTAGTCAGCAGGATGCGAGTAAAGATGCAGGAGGAGAACTGTACCGGTGAGTTAACGGCAGATCACTGCATCACACACCAGGAAAGGCTGTGTGGTAAAGTCCTAAAAATGGAGCATGTAGTGATCACCGTAACGCAAACTAAATTTTATCTGAGCTAAAAGTTTAAATCACCGTCAATTTCAGTCTTTTATGTGGGAAATTTTTGAGCTCAGCAAGGAAATCTGTCAGTTCATGGACATGGCATGTATGATGCGGTGAAGGCATTTCACATGAAGCTGTCACAAATGCACCAGTGCAACCTGCCTCACTTTCCTTGTTGCCAAGTAATGCTGAACCAAGTCAGCGGACTTTGCTGAACTGCACCTGTGCAGATTCAGATGGAGCTGCAGTGTAATGATACACTCAAGGGAAAGTACGACACCTAATGGCCCGCACAGTTTATTAGTTCCTTTCCTGAAGCAATGCCTCAGCTCGGTCTACATGCAGCTCCAACCTTGTGTTTGCGTTCATTTCTTTTTTCTGGGTTTTTGGCAGCATGTTCATATTTCTAACTTGCATAATTTTGACAGGATATAGTTTTATGAAGAGCAAAATATTTAAAGTTAAAGTTTATTTTTTTAAGTTTATTTAATCTGGAATAATATTCCTGTCTGTTTTTATTCATATTTATGTTTAAAAAACATTGTTTTAGTGTTCAATAAATGTTTATCTTGTTTTGCCCGCAACCTAAAGTGTGCTTTGAGTTTTGGCCCCCTGTGCAATTGAGTTTGACACCCCTGCTATAAAGTGTAAAACAGAACCACCATCTTTTGATTATGTATGAGGTTCTGTTGGTAGGGAAGAGAAGAAGGAGAGGTGAAGGGGGTGTGGAGGTGTGGCTAGATAAATCCCCTATGTGACAAGAAGCTCTGATCAGAGAGCTGCAGGAGCTGCAGCTGTATGATGATGGAGATGCAGAAAGAAGCCGAGCTCTGTTTCCCACAACTCATCAACAGTTCCTGCAGGAAGCCAACACTTCACTGGTCCAAAGCTGTGCTGCTGAACA